ACACACAAAACAAGGTAAGTCATGGGATAAGGTAATCCATCCTTATTTAAAATTCTTACAAACGAAGATGGAGGCTGATCGACCCAAACAAAATCGCACATCTCCATATCATGGTACAACGCAACAAAATCTGGTTTAGAGAAGTCTTTTCTATTAACAGCTCTAAGGTTCTCACAAGAACAAAGTAAACAAGCAAACGAAGAAGAAGTAAGAAGGAATCGGGCTTCAATTTCTCTGATTTTCAATAGTTCATACGGATTGAGCTGTCCAATATGAAGAGTCTAATGGTTAAATATTGTAACCAATGACTTCCTACAATTATAAGAATACCCTCTAACTACCTTATTCAATTACAATATTACCCTTTTAACCAACTCAATTCTTAACTACTTTCGTAACTAACCACACTCATATTTGCTTGCCAAGTGTCATTGATTAATATTTTCTAACAAGAAAAATGACTGCTTTTGAATTCAATGCTCAATCAATAGAGAAGCGGAGAATAGTACAAGATGGTTTCAAGAATTCAATATTGGCTGTAACGTAGTAATGACTCACAATACTTGGGACCATATAGTTTTTTATTTTGATACGTAAGAAGTTCCGTAAATCATCGGGTATAATAATTCGCTTCTTATTTAATCAACGTTCAAAAGATTTAAAACATGTACAAGATGGGGAGATATTTATCAATTTGGCAATTTGGCAATATTTATTAGAACTTCAAAAAGAGTATCATGAACTAGCTAGTGGTGAACTGTCGATAAAAATTTCTTTATATTTATTTTTTATAATGTTTTAAATGTAGATAATTACTTTTTTATCCTTTAGTTGTTAGTAAACACACGAATGTGAACCATATTCAACTAATTACCTAATTAGTTGTCAATAAATATATGAACGAAAATGATACTCAATGCTTACAAATCCATTTCTTATAAGTAAATATACCAAAGTTTAAGAAGATAGATTGAAATCAAATAGCTCATGGTACTATAGCTAATTATTAAAAGAAAACTAATGAAAATGACTTGAAAAATCTTAGTTTTAATAAAAAATCATGTTATAAGTTTTGTTTAATGATTAGTACAAGACCCATATTAAAGTAGTGCAATTAAAAATGGCCTAACTATAATAAATTATGATTTGTCGATTTTACCCCTAACTTTTTAAGGTTAAGTTCCACATTTTCGTCATTAATAGAGTTCATCGTTGTTTAGCAGACCTTCTTCTTTTTCTTTGAAACAAAATATAGATATGCATGCTATTTAATTTATATTTTGTATTATTTTGTTGAAATGTGATCGTCGCCATTATTCATAGTGTATTTGAGGTACTGTTTTTCAAATTTTCATCGTCAGTGAAGTTCATAATTTGTTTCTCCATAAAATAAATTTGAGATCTGCATGCTATTTAATAATAACGACGGGTCACTGTTTCTGGACTATAAAAATAAACTGTTTCTAGATTTTAAGTAACAATGTGTCTGGAATCTAAATCACTGTTTTTGGAATCTAAGTCACTATTTCTGGATTTAAGTGAAATAGACACACTATTTCTTAATTGTAAGCTATAAAAGAAATAGTGAAATTCACTGTATTTGAATTCAGAGAAAAATAAGCATCATGTTTCTTAAATATAATCAATTGATGCATGAAAGAAATGAAACAGTCAAAGGTTAAAACATAGACTATTTCTGGAACTAAGTCACTGTTTCTGGAATCTAAGTTATTGTTTCTGGGATTTAAGTCACTGTTTCTAGAATTTAAGTCACTGTTTCTGGATTTTAGTTCTGCTCTTTCCTGATACATTGTTTGTAAACAAACACTATATCTGATTTTTTTTTTCTTTCCAGAAACAGTGTTATGTTGTGGGTTATCCAGAAACAATTTTATGTTTTGGTTCTTTTTTGTTTCCAGACACTTTTTCACTAGTTTATGCCATTAAACTTCTTTGAACTTGTTTCGGCGGCTTTGTTCCGATGAATGCTTTCTTTTTCAACTTTGATTTGGTTGTTTTTGAAATGGGGGGAATTGGATTTGATAGGAAGACAGGGAGTTATTATGGCAATTTCGTGCTGGTTTGAGGTTGGTGAAGAGTAAAGACAATATCAAATTATTTAAGGGTATTTACGGAAGTTTAGATTTGTAGTGGGTTGGGCTTGTAAGTTTGACCCATGGACAATAGTTTTGGATGATATTTTTATTAAATTTTGAGCCATTTTGATTAAATAACATTTTGGGATGGTTTTTTATTAAATATTTGTTGGCTCAAGCCCTTTTCATTAAAGCTCCCTATAATAAAATATATGTCAAAACATTTTAGACAAAAATCAAAAAATAAGTACACAATGACAAGTACCCAAATATTATACCTCACAAAAACCCACTAAAATTTCAAAGCACCAATTACTGAAAAAGACTTATAGCTTCTTTGTTGGGCCGTTTCCCCAACTCAATCAATGAAGAAATATACAAAACTTTTTTTTTTGTTGGGCCTTTCGGACCCCATCAAACCCAATTAAAAAACGAAAAAGATTTGAGTATTTCTGAGGACCATTGACCGGGAGCAAGGTATAAAATATCGATGATATCAGAAATATCAGTAATTTAAAAATACGGAAATTTTGATGAAAATATCGGGATATTATCGATATCGATAAAAATTGAATAAAACCACGAAAATTGTAAGAAAAACTTGGAAATTTTTATTGAAACTTTGCAGGATGTTTATTTAGTCAATTATCTATTAGTTTATCACAAAAAATTGGAAGGAAATGCATTGCATGATGGAGTAAACTAATTTAAGTTGATTATATAGCGAGCTGGCAAACATTGTGAGTGTAGAAAATATGTAGTAATTAATTAAAGAAGTTTAAACACACCATAAACATTTATATATAATGAATTAGTACAATATTTTACACTTTATACATTGCATGGTAAGATACATGAGTGACTTAGTACCACATAGAGTTCCTATGAGGTTCAAAATTTTCACTATCTTCATCATCTCTATGTGTAGATTTGTTTCTCGCAAAAAGAATTCAAAACAAAACCATATATATAAATATTTTAGCATATTTTCACAAAAACATAAGTGATATGGTGGTCAAGGTGTTGAAGGAATAAAATGGGAGGGGTTTGAATCCCTTGGTGTTTTTTTTTTTAATATAGAAATTTATCCTAGATAATAAATATTAGGGTAAATTACACAAAACTACCTCAACTATTAGGGTTTTATTTATTTATTTATTTCTGGGTTGCAGGTAGTGGGTGCGGCGTGTAACACCCCAACCCCCAATTATATGTATAATTTCGTAAGTCCCCTAAAGTTTTATTGAGATTTCATTTTGCCCCCCTCCCCTATTTTGATTAAATCTGGACCCTTTATCTAGATTCCTAAACATTCCCAAACTGCCACGTGGCAGCACCATATCACTCCTTACTTTTCTCTCTTTCCGTCCCCTACCCCGTGACCCTCTTTCCTTTCTCTTTCTTCTTCTTCTTTCTCTACACTCTATCTCTCTCTCTCGAAACCCTCTATCTCTTCCCTCTCTGTCGTCGAGACACACACACGGCAGCACCATCATGCAAACATCATTACCATCATCATCATCGTCATCAAACATCGTCTTTCTCCCTCTCCTTCTCGTCTCTGCAACTCGGCGAACGTAGGAACTCTCTGGCAAGCTTCTTAATCTTCTCCAGTTAGGTAAGCTTCGTGTTTACCTCTTTCTATTCTAGATTGAAGCTTAGATGTGAATTTTTAAGTTCTATCTCGTGTTTTTCCAAGGTTTTTGGGACGAAATCGGCTTGAGATTAGGCACACCTATCTCCGGCGAGGTCGTGAGTGTCTAGAGGTGTTTCGACCACCACAGGTCATTTCACGGCAAACGAAAATGGTTCGAGTGGGTCCCGCCGTCGAATGAATGGGATCCGATGACTGCCACATCGTCGGGAGTCGTTCACCACCACAGAGAACGACGCAGCGGCGGCCGAGGGTCTTCAAGTCACCGATCTTGTTGAAGACGAGGAGGAGGAAGGAGTCTAGGAGGCAATCGAATAGGTCGTCGTCAATGGGGGAGTAGGGTTCCAGAAGACAACAACGAATTCCTCCGATAATATCGATAATATCGCGATATATTGACGATAATTAAGTGGATACTCGTGAAAATATCGCCCTCTCACAAAAACGATATTATCGACGAAATATCGCCGATAATATTGATATTTTGGTCCATGACCAGGAGTAAAAAGTATTTTCAGGACAGATAGCAAGATATGTGTAGAAGTATGATTCCCTATTTTATAAACGAGCCCTATAAGATTAGAAAAAATTTATATGTGGTAAGATTCTTAGCTTAATTATATTTGGTATTTCTTAACGTACAATACAGGTAAACTTAATCTAAAGATAGAAATCCAGAGACGAGAAGATTCGTCTCACTAACAATGGAATGCTGGGCAAAGTGACTCTGGAGGCACCCCCAAATTTCCGAGGCAGTTTCATAGCCGATAGTAAGAGTGGATATTCTCAGAAATCGCACTGCTATTATACGTACCTAACAAGAAGATGATCTTGTTGAATCCATAAAGGGTGATCGGGTTGTGTTTGGGATCGGGTATGTGAGAAGGAGGTAGCGGATGAGTTTCGTCATCGAACTTTTACAGATCATGGCCAGCGAGAAAGAGCTTGATCTGACAAAGCCAAACTGAGTAATTGGATTTGGTGAGTTAATCATGTTTTCGAATGAGATGTCTAAATTCACATAAGCAATAACAACAATTGTGTTTTTTAACCAAATTTTCAATTCTTACGTGGCATGACGTCAATTGACATCAAAAATAGTAGTTGCCAAAATTGACAGCAACTTCAAATTCATTTTTAATTTATTAAAAAAAAATTTACCCATTATTATCATTATTATTATGTTTTGTTCTAAAAACGTTTATTACAATTATAAATAAATAAATAAATAATCAATTTAACATATCAAGTTGAGAGCAAAATTTTTTTTTAAAAAAATTGTCAACTGATCTTTTTGATCGGACCTCCTGTATCCATGTTCCTAGTGGACAACTTACACCTGACTTTGAGGTACAACAAGCACTACTCAACGAAAAATCATTGTCCTCAATAGCAAAGGAAACTAAATAAAATAAATTTATAGTTTCTAATGGTACCATCTTTTTATAATACCATTTCTCAATGCCTCCTCACCAGTGAACCCATAAGGCAGTCTGGCCACAACATCCTGAATCATCAACTCTTTCACGCTCGAGATGCTGGCATGGTAAACTTGTAGCCCTAGGCCTTTGAGTGCATTCATCAACTTAGCATATGGGTAGCCTTGATCCGGACACTGAACATGTATTATGGCTTCTGACCCCAGAATCTTTACATCCACTTCCACAACCGCAGCAGCTCCCCTATCACTATTAATATTATTATTATTATTGTTATTACTATTAATAATATTACCATCATTATTATTAGAACAATGACGCTGTTCGACTTTGGAGCTGGTGCTTTGGCCGGAGTGGTGGTCAAGACTGTTACTTGCATTATTGCCCGCTTTAGGTTTTTGTGGTTGTTCTTGGACTTTGGCCTCCAATTCCTCTACTTTTGATTTGAGTTGATTGATGTACGCCACGGCATCGGCAAGCAAAGAGGACCTGTCCATTTTAGACACATTGGGAACAACTGACCGGAGGACATAGAATCGGTGGTTGAGCTTCTCCCTCCTCTGTCTCTCTGCCTCAACGTGGTTCAACAATTGTGATTCTCTACTTGCAGATCCATGGTTTGATGATCTCCCTCGCTTTTTTGTCCGAGTCATGCTCTCCGTATTCTCGGAGGTGAAATTGTCAACGGAGTCAGAAGGTGATTCCGGTGACGACCGTCCTAGATTGATAGGTGCAGCTTCGTTTATACCACCTCGATCTGGAAAAAGAAAAAAAAAAAAGTATTGCACCTCGATGTTAAATTAGGTACATTATTAAGATTATACACGTAGGCAAACGCAGTATAATGCACTAATAGACCTACGCAACTAATATGTACTTAGTGAATGACCAAAAGGGAAAAATTGTTTGGTAAGTTGTATTCGAAATCATTGACCATACCATTTTTAGAGCTTGATCAATATTTGGTAATATCGACAAATAACCAATCAAGTTCGAACACTGTGCAAATTAAGTACTGTAATTTTGTATTTGGTAAGTACCAAAAAACGAATTACTCTCGAATTTAACATAGTTTTTGGTGCATACCTTGTCGGGTGAGTTCCTTTTGAGCTGCTGAAAACAGTCCATTTTCTAGGATAGGAGCAATTACATTGCCGTCATGGTTGGTCTGCTGTGAGAGCGTCTTGTTGATGTTGCCGTCTGATCCGAACAGCGACTTTGATAACTGCACTAGACCCCAATCTTCTTTGATCACATCCAAAGAGGCCAGTTCAAGTACCCCACAAGGAGTTGCAATGCAAACCAAAGTTTGGATCCCATGCATTCTTGCTTCTTTCACTCTCTCACACTCATAAAATTGAAATTCATGGTCAGCTGCAAGCCAAACAAACCCACCAGAACCAAATGCCCTGCCGAGAATATTGTCACTATTATTACCGTGGCTTGCAGAGAATGACTGGGTTAAAGAAACGGTGTAAAAGTAAAACCACTCGGTGTCAGTCACATCTCCCTGATCCACCAACCTCATGTCCAAATCCACCATGTCATCATGCAAAAGAGCCTCAACTTCCCGGTTAATCATCTTCTTTCTCCCCACATTATTGAACCCAAATTTGGGTTGGTAACTGTTGGTCACTCGGTTGCTTCTTTTCGATGCCAAGTGATCGCGAGTGTCCTGGAAATGGCCGGCAGCCCACGACAGGGAAACTTGATCGCTAATGCTGTCTTTGGAGGCTTGCCAGAAAATGGAATACACCCACCACTCAGGCCTATTCTGAATTATGAACTGTAGGCTCTGTTGAAATTTGGAGGAGGTTTCTTGGCAGAAATTGGGTGGAGAACATGAGGATATGATTTCTTCCATAGTATTTGCCCTAATTTGGTTTTGCTACAGAAGGGGACTTTATGTAACAAGAGAGAGGAGGAGAGTGAGAAGCAGAGCAGTGGAAGAAGAGAGTCAAGAAACTAAAAGAGCGAGGTTTTCAGTGAGTGGTGTGGCTTTTAGGATTTGGTTATACGGGCATAAATATAGGACAACCAAAGCCTGGCTTTATGCCTTGCACAGTTTGGACTTTGGGCTAGTGGTGCCAACGTTATAAACATGGTGATATGATAGATTTTTTTTTTTTAATAAACAATATTATCTATTGAGGTGAGGGAATGAGTTAAGTCTCACGTTGGGCAGCCATAATAATATGGTTCGAATTAGCATTTGACGAGAATCGAATCTAAAACATTTTATAAGTGAAGAGGAATATCATTCGATCGTAATACTAAGTGGTGACTTTTGTGTATTAGCTTACCACATGGTAAAAATGAGCTGAGCCATTGCATGACGGTAGTTAATCTAATATCTAATTTAACAAAATCTATCATTTGACAAAAAATAAAAATAAAAATGTTTTTCATTTGGCTAATTTAATCTCATTGTTTTTATCTAGCTAATTTGATCTTTATGTGTTTTTTACTCCCTTAGCTAATGTAGACCATTCCATTAAACTACCGTTAATTAATCAATTTCTAATTATTTAATAAATATAAAAACTCATATAAACGATATGATAAAGTTCAATTTTAATAAATAAATATAAAAAAATCCCCAATCATGAGGTCGTGAAAGGGAATGGATCAAAGGGGAAAGCCTGCAGGGCCGATCTATGCGATGAATATGGTAGGTCTGTAGATGACATGGCTGGAGGCAAGGCGATTGATAAAAGTGTGAAGGTAGGGTTCATATGGAGTCAACGACGGCACAGAGAGGGGGAGGAGGTCGACGAGACGTAGCCATACAGTTGGAGAAGCAACGCGGAGAGGTAGCAGGCCGTGGGGTGAAGATTCCCAGAGAGAGAGAGAAGGGGGTGGCTATTGGGGCAGTCACGGTGGTTTTGTGTTGCGGAGGATCATTGCGTGGTTGGGTAGGCTAGGGTTTCAATTTTTATTTGTAGTACATAGTTTTTAAGGATATTTGGCCTAAAGGTTAATAAAAACTTCACTAATTAATCATATATCAATGGTCAATTTTATTTTTGGACATAATCAATGAAATTTTATAATAATTATACATAAGTCTATGAAATATGTCACATGAGTTTAAGCTAGTTATAAAATAACTATTATATCATTCTCTCAACTTTATTCTATCCTTATCTCTTCCACTTTCTCATCCGTATTTACTTTATTCTCTTCCGATTTTCTATCATGTTTCTCTCTTCCCTTCTTTCTCTTCACTTTCTCATGTTTATCTCTCCTCTCCCTGACTCTCTATCTTTCTCTCTCATCCGTCAAACCTGAATAAATATTTTGACTAAAAAAATACCCTTGTCTATTACAAATCCCGAAAGTGAAACAGAAATTCAAAAATATCCGCCCCTGCCAAAAACTCTCAGCAACCATCCACTTCCTGCCACCATGAACTCCCATCAACGACTAACCTCTATCGATGGTGATAATTTCACTGATGACACCCCATTAATTTTCTCACTCTTGCCCTTCACTTTCTCTTCTTCGATTCTTACCTTGTTATGGAGCCCAAGGATGATCGATGACAACTCCAACTTTCTGATATGTTGTCGCTAACTTCTAATCAAAGCCCAAGGGTGGTTGACGGCAATTTATAATATCTTTCTTGACGTAAGGGAGGATTAGAATGAAAAATAGGGAGGGAGAAGGAGATAGAAAGAGAAAGGATTGAGGGGAAGGCAAAGATGGGTGGGGGCAGAGGTCGGAGACTCTAAGAGAACTATTTATTCGAGTTTGATTGAAAAAGCCGAACCAGGAAACAGACACTGCATTCTGAATCCAAAAGTACAAATAATGTAAAAAACAGAACTAGGAAATAGACATTGCATTGCAGTGTCAAATGCAAAACTTAAGAGTTGCTGAGGTGTGAAGAATAGGAGATGTGTAAATGATGGGAAAAAAAAAACAAGAAAATGGACACTTAAGCAGCATCTGAATCCAATAAAACCAGATGCAATGTCTGCATCCAAATGTAAAACTAATGTAGAAACAAATACACAAATTAAGAGTTGCACGATGAGTGATTGAAAAAAAAACGAAATTAAGAAACGAACATTGCAACGTAGCGTCTGAATCCAAACGTAAAAAATTGAATTAGGAAACACACACTGTGCTGCAGTGTCTAAATCCGTATTGACCTATTCTCAAATATAAAAATATAAGAAAGGGTGTGTCAGTTGAAGTGGGTGACAACTGTAATGATAGATTTTGTATTCATTTTAAATGCATTTAAGTATCATAATACATGATTGACCTATTCATAATTAACATAAATATTGTTGATATATTGTAACTTTATATTGATCTTATACAAAATCACCCTAAAAAAAACTTGACAGTTATTGAATAAAAATGATCATATTGACTAATGGTGACATGGCCCGACCTAAATCACGGCATGCTAGCCGTCACGTGAGAGTGATGTAACCATGTGCACAATGCGGAAGCAAAAATTGATATAGAGAAATATGAGTAAATAAAAATCCAACTACCAGTACTAATTACGATAAGGTGCAAGTGCGAGATTAAGTGTGAAATACACCATCAGAGCATAAATAGCCTAAGTGCAGTCTGACTGGACAAGTACTAATTATACAACACCTAAGGGTGATCCTACGTTTATGATGTTTTGTCAAAACCACCATCGAAATCCCATGAGCCACCAAAGCACTTCTACTTAAAACCTGGAAGGGCACAAAACAGAAAGTGTGAGTGGGCAAAAACAAAGCTTTTCAAAATCATTTCATTTCTTAAAAGTTCTAACCCCTCGCCGTAAAACATGTATAATTTCCCACAAAATATATATACCATAACAGAAATCATGCTCAAGATGAAAACCATAGAAATATACCATGCCAAAGTATCTCAATGAAATGTCATAAGTAATCTAGATAAAATATATCAATGCCATATATCATATCAGCCAGACCCCTTTAACTGAAGCTGTACGGCTAAGTCTATAGCTCATAACCAATCTCAACCATATCAAATCTTGCACACGAGTCGGGACCACCTAAAGAGGTCTGTACGACAAGATTAGGTGTAAAATAAATATGCTCTAGTACTACGATCACGTGAAGACTGTGCGAATGATCGCGGGTCACCTATGAGTCGGAACCACCTAAAGTGGTATGTACGACAAGCCTGTGCACCTAACTTGGATCCAAGGTGAGCATATGACGCGGGAGGTGAACATCACGTGAAGGACTGTGCCCTAACTCTAGGCGGGAGCACTAACACCGGGGTGCAGGTTTATGAGCTCTCAATACATCACATCATATCTCGCATAACTGAAGTAATCTCGCATCTTTAATTTATGAACTTACCTAGCACTTACCTGTGCTTCCGCAACACCAATCATAAATATATGCAACTACTAATGCATAAATAAAATAGACAGATACTTTGCATGGCATTTCAAAAAGTATAATCATTCAAATTCATTTTCTGGGAAAAATCTCAAGTATATAGGTACATACGGAAAACCAAAAGCCCACTCACTGATATGTCGAAGGGTCGTAGCCCCCGAGCCTTGATTGATGGCGCTTGTCCTCCGGATAGATCTCACCTATATGCTAAATAACTAAATAAAAGTTATTTAAAGAACATATACCAAACTACGAAATAACTTATCATACATTGCTCAAATGGGGAATTTGAATATACCACCATGACCTACTCAACCTTAGGAACATCCCCATATTTTCAGAAAAATTTTCTGACCACCCATGTACCTTCACGCGCCGGCCAAGGCACGGCCAGACACACGACTCACGCGCAAGCACGTGCCTAGCACACCAAACAGATTCCCTAATGGCGTTATTCCGTTAAATATAAGCATATACAGTTAAATATACCTGACGCCGTTAATTGTCGTTAGGAATATTCCGTCAAAGTTGACGAAATATTCGTTTTCTTCTCCGGCGAGTCACTAGATTCCGTCGCCATCGCCAGAATCTGGGAAATTTTTCTAAACTTCATATCTTTTTCATTTTTCAACCAAAATTCATGAAACTTAAACCAAAATGAAGCTTACAACGAGCAGAACAAAACCTTACCAATTTTAATCCCTAAAATCCATGGGATCTTGCCGAAAAAAGGCACGATAATCTGGCCACCTCTGCAACTCGTCAAACTCGAGCTTCCCGACGTCCAAATCACTCTAAAGTTACTCCTCGAGCTTTGTGAAGATGTTTTAAGGATCCCTATGACCTTAAAACCCGCTGAAAGGTCCACATTTACGACTGCATGAACAGTAACCCAAAACTGGGTTATCTGGTTCTCGGGAAAATGAGGTCTTCACATCCAACCAAGGGTATAGATGAGCTCCTGAGCTCACATGGAACACAAAGACCACCTTCACAGCCTTGATCCACGACTTGAATGGAAGGTTTGAAGTTTGTCCATACGCTTATACGGAAAATGGAAGAAAACCGAGAGAGGCAGGAGAGAGAGACTCAACGTGTGTGTGTGTGGTCTAGATTGGTCCCCAACCAAAAACAAGAAAATAACTTAAGTTCCAAACACTTAGGAATAAAAGAAATGGGTCCAAATTCTAAACTTAGACCCCACAACCCCACAAAACGTTCAAGGGTACTTTAGTCATTTCATGCCATAAAGAAATTATTCGGGACGGGCTGCGACAAATGGAGTAAAACACCAGGACGAAATCAGCCAAATTAAAAGCACGAGGACTAAATTACCAAAGGAGTAAACACGGGGACCAATTTAACATTTAGACCTTGTTTACTTAATTAGATATAGGTTTTATTTTATTTTTCAAGGGATCAGATCTTGACATTTTTTTAATATTAAAAAGAGTAATATCACTAATGTCACAGCCCGTTCCGGATTTTTACATGTTGGGGACGTGAAATGACGGAATTACCCTTGGCGAGTATTAAGGTATGCGTGTGTGTGACATATTGGACATATTACATTCATTCCTAAGCTTTTGGAAATAATTTAGGTTGGATTAAAAATGTTTAGTTGTATGTTTTGTGTGGTTAGGGAGATTAG